TTTATAGAAGTGGTAGGTATATGAAGTTTTACTATTTTTAAGATTGGTTTTCAATACACACAAATTTGTTTCAATTTCGTTCTTAGTAAGCAGTTTTTCTAGTTTTGAATATTTGATACTCTAAAGACTATTTATACCTTCGTATACATTATTAAACTAGTACAAAAGTCTTATATTAGTACTAATGTAGTTAATCTTTTGATATTAAAATCATATGCGCACATTTATCAACATATTCCAAGTAAATCATAAACTATATGTAACTTGCATACAATTGACAATGTACATGAATGCTATTTTTTCCTCCATAAACTATAACTAAAATTTACCCCATGTGTTTAAGAAATTAATGTATCTGATTAAACCTGTGCCTATATAGCTATGGGTACTCATTTAATATGATTATAAAAATATTATTTAGTATAATCATCATTTGAGATGATAAATCTGAAAAATAATAGTAATAATCACTAACCTTCAAGGGAATATCAACGAGTTTTAGATATTTTTGAAGTCTGATTGTAATTCTTTTTTACTACTATAATTATTTGATGAATTATTTCTCTTAACTTATCTTTTAGATATCACATATCATCTTCTATTAGTTAAAAAATAATAGAAAATACAGTAATATGATCCAAGATAAATCAAATAAAAAATTATAAATATTTTCATATAATGCGAAAGAAAACATAATGATGAAAAATATAGTGTTAGAATTTTACTGAAAAAATAATAAGCGACAAATAACTTGAATTACATACACTTGCCTTTTAAATCTCTAGTGATTTCTCCATTCATATCCTCTCTAACTCACATTCATATTGGAAAAAAGAGATAGGAGAATTATGCAAGACACTTTACGTTAAAATTTTATGTTTAAAAATAAGGATATGTAGAATATGCATTAAAGATCTCACTTTTAAAATGGCATTAGAAGACAATGCATATGGAGGCTAAGCTATTAAAATTACCTTATAGGACATTATTATATTAATTTATTAGAAAATTCAATTTTTAAAAGGAAAATTATTTTTTATATTTATTTTTTAAAAAAAATATATATATATTTGCTATGATATTCATTATTAAATACCTCTCATTTAATCACACATTCAAATAATGGTTAAGTTAAAAATTTTGAATTTTATAAGGGTCTGAAACTTTTTTTACTTTTAAATAATAATTTTGATCATTTTTAAATTCTAATTTTAGATTTTTCAACTGATATTACACAAAAATTAAGAAATTTTTGATAGTCTTATTGCTTGCTTTTGTTAACAAGATAATCAATTATAAAAATTTAACTGAATAAAGTTCATAGATCATATAATAATATGAATCAAAAAGCTCAATTTTGGTTAGTGGAGTCCCGTAAGGTGATTTAATAATTTTGCTCCTATATATGAACTTTTTATGCTTATCTTACTGCTTACTACTAAAATCTAGCAATGTTATATAAATATATTCTACTCAGAATCAGTAATATTAGAGAGCCTATCCCTCTGAAGCAAAATATATATCAGTAAATGCTCGCTTCTTCAAAAAATATTTTTTTAGAATAAAGAAACCAATTCATCATACAAATCGATAGATTATAAACTCATATAAGTAGTTACACAGAATTATAGATGATTTGTGATGTATCACCTATTACATTATATATACTTTAATGAGGATCAGAAACACATTTTATTTATGTTGCTCACTGTTCTCTTACATACATTATGACTGAACGGTATATTATTTTATTAATACAATAATATTCAGAATTCTGTAGCTATTTTAATATGTCAAGCCAATATGTATCTCTAATAACTATATAGCCTTGCTGATATAATAATTTCTTAATAAGTATGAATGTTACAAAAGATAATTGTTGTTATAATTGGACTCTCTTCTTATACATCCAATCATTTCTTACTGGATAACAATGTCTCTTATCCTCATAACAAATATATCCTGATTGTTCTGATTTATTTTTATACCTAAAAACTTTATATTATTAGGAGTATCATTATTTCTCACCATCTTTTAAACCTGTTTTACCAAAGATTTGGGTCTTTTCTTGTAATTCCTATAATCTTGCTGAATAACTGTTGCATAGAAATTTTCAAAGCTATAATTATAATAGTATTTAGGAATCAAGAATCCTCAAGATCACTTCATTGATCTTCTTGAAAAAAATTTTATTATACAGTATATTAGAGAATCTAACTCAAAATAGATAAATCAGATTTTTTTATCCTGCAGATGGTACATTTTACAATTATACTAGGCTATAATGCATGCAAATTATATAGTGTAAAAAAATATAAGTTATGAATATAATTAAGATATTATTTAGTTAAAAGTAATAATCTATAATTAAAACATTACTCAGAATTAGTCAGTTAAAACAGTTAAACAATCATGATTTCTACTTCATCTTCAATTTTATTGTGATATCTTTTAGTTAATTAAGATGTTTTGTGAATAATAATAAGTTATTTTGTTTCGTATATAGAGATAAGATAAATAGTATGTTTGGAATTGACGAGTGTGACTTAAAGCTTATTGTTTAATCTTTAAACGTCTAAGATCACTTAAAGGATCAGAACATTCTTAGTCCTAATATCCCTGCATCATATTCTTAGCTTCAATTAATTCAATGAATCTATGTTATCCATGGTGATATGATTTGGTTGGCTTTATTTCATTAACTTGAAATAGTTTTCAGCAATGAAAGCAGATTGCTATATTATTTTTATGAATTTTAGAACGATAATAAGAATGATATGATTTGTCAAATTTGCCTTTACCAAATTCTGCAAATAAGCAAAAACTAAGGTTTATGCTATTTTCATTTCATGATAATAAATATTAGAGTATTTTTAACTTGTAATTCTCATTGCACTGGAGACACACCCTTTCTCATTATTGATAATTTGTCATAGATTTTTTCATTAGCAAGAAATTTTTGAAATTTATGCTATCATAGTAATTTTCGAGATATGTTCTATAATATTTCATATTATATTCAGGATAGTTACTAATAGGCTTAAGAAACTATCATTCTTTTTTATCAATAATCATATTAATGTTAGTATGTCAAAGTAACAACTGTCATATTTAGCAAAATATACTGATTTTATTGATTTATAGTATTTTTAGCAAATTCTAGCTATTCTTGAGTAACATATACTATAGAATATCATCATTCAAATTTATACAAATTTACTGATTAGCAATTAGATAATTTGTAGCTGATTTGTGAAACTACATGTTAGTAAATAAAAATTATTTTTTATTTTTGATCATCACTGTATTATGATACACCTGGCTCCTTTTCAGCACCTTATCAGTTTCTGACGCTCTTAGTTTATAGATATCTCGTAATTAACAGGGATTAGCCAAAGGCGTTATATTTGATGTATAATATAAAAATTTGTATCACCCTGGCTTCCAGTCAGTTTCTGACACTTCTTCGTAACCTTTCTGCAACTCAAATCATAAGAAAAGTTATAGATTGACTTACAAGCCAATCAGATTTCAGATTTTTTCTTTAGCTGAATAGCCTAAAAATTATTACGAATAAAATGCACATGTTCGAGATGATCAGCTAATTTAATCATATAGATTCTTATTTAAAATCTTATTGGAAGAAATGTGACATTAATATCACAGCTAAACCAATAATATCTAGCAAAGATTTAGAACAGAGTTATTTATGCCGATTAATATGGTAGAATGAAAACTGGAAACTTTATGATTTTAGCTCTGAGAGCCGTAACATTAATGTCATACTACTTTACAAATAAAAAATCAAAAATGGTCATAGCTCTCTTGAAAGAAGTCATTATCAAGGGTTATACAAATACATATAGCAGTATATACTATTTATTCATTTAATCTAGCAATAACAAAATCGATATCATTTGAGAATAGATTTAAGATTGTAGTAGTATTAAAAGACTTTATCTATTCTATCACTTTTATACCACCAATGTTACTAAAAATTCTGAAAACTCCTCTCTTGTACCTTTGGCACTGCGGGAGATAAAATATCTCCTTTTTTTATCTGATAGCTTATCTAATAGGTTTTCTCTTTTCAAATTAATATGATTACGTGCTTTTTTTCCTGAACTCAGTTCAGGAAGTTTGTTAATATATGCAAAAAATAAATACAAAGGTTCAGGACTTTGCCTGTAGTACATAACGTTTCTATGATATGTTTGCAGGCTATTATTATACACGCTTATTTTTTTGAACGATATTCCTCTATTCTAGCCTTTTCTTTGAGGGAGAATCATCTTCCGCACATACCCTATCCTTTAATAAACCCATTACTACGCCCAACACGTTCTCACGCTATTACGTAACGTTTGATATTCTACAGATTCTTTCTTTGGAAAATTCGATGCTTAATGGTAATTTACTGCCTTATGAAATTACCCTCCAGAGTATACAACAGGAAGTGCCAGTCCTGAGCTGTAATTACAATACTATACAATTAAGGCCCCTCAACCTTTTGCTCCTTAACGAAGTCCACAGGTGTAATATATTTTTTAAAAATAACTGTTACGTCATTACGTGACTTCTAACAAATATATCGATACTTTATTAGTTATGAAATAAAAAAATTACTGATACCAAAATATAATATTTGCGAATATATCACTGTTCTATGAATTGAATCCTATCATTAGGAAGTTGCTGACAAAAATGCTCCATTGTTATATTGTAGAATTTGATAATGAATTGATGACACTACTCCAGGAATTGCCGGAAAAATTAAGCAAATGTGGGATAATAAAGTTCGTTAGGACGGATATTTTCAAATAACGATAAATAACCACCTTTCCTTCCTTTCCTTAATCATAGGCTGGAAGAATAATATATTACTAGCATTAACTCTACTCGAATTAGATTAAATCTAATCTACAATAATGTTGTTCCCGAGATATATGGGTCATTTATGAAAAAATTTCTTAGGGGAGAAAAATAGGAAAAGCGCTTCTCTAATCCGAATACTTCGGACAGACGGAATTAACCTTACGTTTAAGGTGATAATACATTTTGAAGAAAGTATTGCTTTCAAGAAAAAATACTTCTGAGAAACAATAAAATTTAAAAGAATTGTACTGCAGTTGTACGCCTATTACAAAATATTATATATAATGACTTAACGAAAGATCCTTAATGAACAATACCTACCATTGTTTAATTCTCTAGCATTAGGATATTTGCGCGTTATCAAATTTTTCAGTTGTTCCCATTGAGAATAATTTCTAACATACAATTTCAAAGAGTCCGACTTTGGTCTGTACCACCAACCGAACAAGTCTAATTCTACGTAACATTTCATTATGTCACTATTCTCAACTAGGTCTGTAAAAATTTGAAGCCACTTTGTTTCCGAAATTCCATTATATCCACAAGCATACATGAATTTCTTGTAAAAATCGTCCAGATTTATAATGGTGGTTCGTGTAGAAATTGCTGTTCTGTATTCAGGATAATCGAAATCCATTCCTGTAAGGCGTGATGACAATCCTAACAGTAGATTAGTACATAATAACTCGGTTACAAAACATTAATATTTTATTACCATCGGTCCAAAACCAGATCTCAATTGTCCAATTTTTGTCAAGCACTCGTCTAAATATCGGACCGTAGTCACCATCTCCGGCGATTAATATCACCGTACCGGGCATATAATCGTGGATTGTGTCACTAATACGTAAAGAGACTTCCGAATCGACCTCTTTTTCTCTATTTAAAAAATTTCGCTCAAATACGGTTACACTATATCCGAGATTCCTAAGCTTTGCCCATATTGTATCTTCAGGAGGAGGAATCGATCCCACAACAACAGGAACAGCACCCATATGTCGACCATCTTGAGCCGTTTCAACTAATTTACCATAATCGATTTGAACCAGATGTTCATCTACAGCTTCACGCCTGGCTGTCTCTTTCTTTCCTTGGATATATACGTTCGAATTGTCTATGAATAAATATACAGAATCAGCAGTTCCTTTCAGGACTACCAAAGGAATGATTGGAACATTTGATATTATTAATAAGTATGACAGAAAAAATTGGCTATCAAAAAATTAAGCCATAACACGTTACTTGTGTTGAATATTTATTACGACTCACCAGCAATGGGTTGCTCTACGATAGCGTGAATATGTTTTTGGGCGGGTTTGACGATAAGAAGCAGGAAAGAAAATCATAAGAATAAGTAAGTATTCGGTATTATTGGCGAGTATGACAGAGAAAGACAAAAAATAAAGCCAAAAGCTAAGCGACACTTTGATAGAAAGAACATACCAGGCTTCAAGAAAGTTCTAAGATAAGCAAGTTTATTTTCATTCGTATCAAAACAATTAAGATCTGACAACGCATCATCTTGCTGATCTTTATGCTTAGTGAAGTAGGAAAGTAATTCAGCCTTCTCTCCTTGAATCTCAACGAGACGAACAATTTCCGTTTTAATGTTTACGGTAGAACCAGAAGCGGAATCCGACATACTGTAACAATTATTTAGATTTGGATAAAAGAGAGTAGCACGAATGGATGAAACTAGGAAAAAGATTTTGGGGATTTATCGGATATATAAATTAGAAATCGATTGTCGCACAGATTGATCTGACTCATCAGTTACGCAACTGACTTAATACAGATATCTGTAAAAATCATGCTTTAGAATACTTCATATAAAAAAAGTGCTAAACTTTGAGATCGTGACGCGCGTCACAGTCTCGGAGTTACCAGTGAAGCGAGAAGAATATTCACGGTACTTTATTAATACATGCGAGTGATAAAAAAAAATAAATACAAGCGCGAGAGTACACGGTAAAGCTTCTATGCTACAATTGCGAACTTGAGTAGTTTATTGCTTGAAGTGTTGCAGGTAAGACAAAATTCCAACTTATCTTGAGGCGGTAATAACTTTGCTAATTTAGGATCATAGGAGAGCTGATTCCCATTTCCACAGTACCATTCACCATGTAACCCTTAATTCCCATGTTTTCCATTGAAAATAGGATCCATGGCTGAACAAATGCAAAATTATAATTATCGATCCCCTATAACTATTTCGGAATTTCAAGTATGTGAAATGCTCTAGCACGGATTTTATAATTTAATTCTGGATCGGGTTTGGCTTCGAAAGTGATAGGCTTGAAACCAGTTTAGCTGACATATTTATCACAGCTTCTGATAATTGCCATGGTTCATGTCCGGTTTCTTTCTTATATTTTTTATATAAATTAGAACGAAACTTATCTGTTAAAATATTTGGTAAACCAGTTAATTTGGCATACCAATCCAGATATTCAGGGGTTAATATTTTATAGGATTTGGTCTGAATATCAAAACTTTTGGATGCTAGATAAACAAACTCTTTAATTTTTTGTATCCTTTTAGGGATAACGATTTCTGGTTTTTCATCGTACCATACTTCAAGAAGGGAAATTCCATTATTTTGACATATGCATCGTTTTGCCGATCATGGTTAACAATATCTTCGAGTTTTTTAATATCCTTATACCAGCTAGTGTTATGAAGCCGATGCTGTTAAAATTTTTAAACAAAATGCTACCTTCTATTATAGTTACTACAATTATCTTCCTTTATAATTATATCCCTCAGAACTAAAATAAAAAGTGTGATTATAATAAAAAGTTAACATAGGAGATTTTTATATGTTGTTACTAAGTATTAGTTCTGCACCTCCAATGCAATTTGATATTTTTGGAAGAAGGCATCAAGCTCTAATCCTTATATGAAAGATGGTCAATATTCAACTACAGGTTCTTCGTTAAGAACTTCCTTAGCTATCTGGATGCATTTAGTCTGGAATTTGCAGTTTTTCTTAGATTCTCTTTCTGTCCAAGCCTGTTTTAATTTTATAATTCTTTTCAAGAGTTCAGCATGTTCCTGCCTCGCTTGCGTGTTTGCAATCCCAAGCTCTTTAATTCTCTGTCTCATCATTTCAAGCTCAGATAGGATAGCTTTATTAACTAACATGATTGATGATAATTTTATATACAAAGGGATTATTCAATATTATATGATAAATGTAAAGATTTGCTTTATTAATACATGCAAAATAAATACAAATGTGGGCTTTGCTTATGACACATGAAGTTTCTATGCTAATGTCTAATCCTATGATTTAACTACTAACTACTTGACATTTATGTGACTTCAAAATTTGTTTGCATAATGCCAATTCAAAGTTTGTAATATGTGTATTATGCCAAAGTTTTCTAAAGCAAAATGATAGATTAATTACTATTCATTGATCTATTTTCCTCATAATTTATATGACGCATTCCATAGCATAAGGTATAAATCATATACTGTACATGATACATTCTCTGTGCCTTTTGGCTAAGCCATCCACATGATTTAAAATAAAAAAGAAATAGATAATCCAGTAATTCAATCTATGTGAATATTCTAGACAGTTACCAGAGAGATAATAGGACTCATTATTAGTGAGATTTTTCTTTCATACCTTTCATTACAATAATAATAACCTCTATCACATACACCATATTCATTATATTTACCATATCTAATATCCATTATCAACTGAATTGTCTGGCATCTCTTCTTCAGAATTACTATTAGGATCAGAGTCATTATCTGACTTATTTTCGTTTATTTCTCTCCCTGATTGTAAAACAGCTTCTTTATTCATTTTTTTCACTGAATGAGATGTGAAATCAAAATACGCACAATTCTTTGCATAATCTTTAAAATCATTTATAGTAATTGTCATCAGCTTCAAGTAGATTACTTACCTTAGGTATAATTGGTATACTTGCTTCAGACTTTTTAAAAACCTTCTCAATTAGTTCATTCGTTCTTTCTTCTTTCTTAAAATAATCTGTAACATCTGATATACCACTAAAATTATCATCTGAGTTAAAACCATTAGCTGATATATTAGCTATGGTCAAGAAGATTTCACTCTCATAATTCTGATCAGTAATTATCTTTGATTTTTGCTAGCTATACTTTAATGCTCAGCTGTGAAAATATATCAGATTTTCTAATTAGAAGATCTTTTAA